GTTGTTCTACTCATATTTTAAACTTGATTGTTAAGGATAGGTTAGAGGTAATAGGTGATGGCATTGAGAGGGTTCAAGATAGTGTTGCTTATTGAGTAGCAACAGCAAAAAGGGAGGAAAATTTTGAAGAAACTGCTAGACAATTAAAAATTCCAGTTTTAAAAAAGTTGTGCCTTGATTGCAAAACTAGATGGAATTCAACTTACTTAATGCTTGATGTGACTTTGCATTACAAAGATGTATTCTTTCGTTTGAAACAAAGAAAGTCAAAATCTAGATGTTTGCCACTTGAGGAGGATTGGGCAATGGCAAAGAAAATTTGTGAAAAGTTGGTTATGTTTTATGAAATCATTGAAATGTTCTCAGGGAATAAATATCCAACAGCTAATATTTTATTCCCTAAGATTTGTGAAATTAAGATTGCATTAAGGAGCTGATTAACTTGTGGGAATGTTGTGATAGAAGCAATGGCAGCATCAATGCTAGAAAATTTGACAAATATTAGAGTGAGGTTCATGGAATTATGGCTATAGCAACTGTTTTGGATCCTAGATACAAAATGCAGTTGATGGAATTTTATTTTTTAGAAATTTATGAAGATAAAACTCAAGAGGAAATGCAAAAAGCTTTGAAACTTTGTTATGACTTAGTTGATAGGTATCAATCTAAGTCTAACCAAAATGAGAAAAATAGATCAACAACTAGCTATATTCCATTGATGGCTTCCTCTTCAAGTGTTAACAAGGCTGACTTTGTTCACAAATTCAAGGCATTCCTTTCTTCTAATGGTAATACTCCAATTGTGAAATCTGAGTTGGATACATATTTGGAAGAAGTAGTGGTTCCAATTGAGATAGAAAACAATTTTGATATTTTGGGTTGGTGGAAGGTTACTTGGATTCGGTTCCCTACATTACAAATGCTTGCTAAAGATGTCTTCACCATTCCCATATCCACTGTTGCTTTAGAATCAGCTTTCAATACTAGTGGAAGAGTTGTTAGCTCACATCGTAGCAAGCTTAATCCAGATACAATAGAAGCATTGATGTGTCTTCAAGATTAGTTAAGAACATATCTCAAAGGTATTAAGTTTATGTTTCTTTTTCTTTTTTTTTTATGTATATTTCTTTTGTTCTTTAATTAAATAGTTCATTTTTAATTTAAATTTTCATGTTTGAAATAGGTTCTTTGGATGATATATGTTTCTTTACTCAAAATGAGGATGTGGATTGTGATTAAGACAATAATTCAGAAGTAAATATACATGACCCTTTTTTATACTAATAATATAAACAGTTTTTCTATAAATATGTTAACATAAAATATTTACTAATTGTATTACAGGTCTTTTTATGAGCAATTGTGGATTTTGAGAGCTAAAGTGTTTTGAGTTGGTTCTTGGCTGCTTCCCTTCATGTTAAATGTTGGTTTAGTTTAGTTATTTTATTTATGTTGGGTTGATTTTTACTTATATTTGGAACAAATATGTTGCTTTATGTTGGATTGATTTCTATGTATATTTGGAACAGCTTATGTTTGGAATGTGTTGCTTTATGTTGAATTAATCCTTATTTGGAATAATTTTGTTGATTTAATTATTTATATTAAATTAATTTTTATTTACCGTTTCCCGTGAGGAATTGGGATAAAAGGTAAAATTTGCTCTCGTAAAACATTTTCGCGAGATCTCCATCCCCACCATTTGCGAGGACTGGGATGAGAAGAAACTCCTCAACCTCACGGGCCGTTGACATCCCTAGGACAGTGGATGGGGAAGCAACGAACACACAACTTCGCGAGTGCATACCACAAAAAGGGGCAAATACTGTTACTTGCTCCAGAAGGTGTGGTTTGCAATCATTTTTGTTTTAAAAATGATAAATTTCATCTCAGATCGATGATCATTTTTAAAAAAAATGTATTTTTTTAATTGAAATATTCCCTTTTGGAATGCTTCGTCTAAATTCAATTTTAGACATTGGCTGGAGGCTTGAATTAAAAAAAAAGTGGTCCTTCAGAAAGGGCCGAAAAGGAGAAAAATCATTTCATTTCATGAATTAAATCCTGGTTCATTCCTCAACAATGTTTTCATAAAGGACTCAAAATCCCAAAAATTTGTTGATCTAAATTAAATCAAAGAAGCTCAATTTTCCTTAAATTAGATTTCAATTTTGAATTTTGTAAATGAAAAAATAAGTGTTGAGCGAGTTTTTTTTCCTTATAAAAATCTATACGACTCAATTTTGAATTAATAAAAATTTAATATAATTTTTAAATAATGAGAAATTAATAATATATATATATATATATATATATATAAAGGGCTCTAAATGATGCTGGACCATAAACGTTCAATTAATTGAAAATCCTACTGTACTTGAGTTGAAAGTTGAAACGCTCTCCGGACTCTGGGTTACTCCTGGACAACGTTCCATAAAGGACCCAAAAATAGGCCAGGCTCAGAAACAAATGGGTATTGGGCCCACCCGGGATCTGTGTCCTCCAGTCCAACTGTCCAATGCGAGGCTCCTGGGCCTTAGCAGTCTAGTTTGGTCCAGCCTCGCCCCTCTATCAGGTTTAAATCCGGCCCCGCCCATATTACAGACATTTTTCAGTTATTATTTTTTCATTATGTTTATGGAATTGATAATTAAAATATTAGAAATGATAATAAAATGACTAAAATATTTTTAATGAGTCAAGGTATAAAGAAGATTTATTAATGACCTTTAAATAATTTTATAAAAAATTATGACATTTAAAATATCAATAGATCCTAATTTTTTATTTTTTTTGTTTGTTATTATTATTATTATTTTCTTTATCCTCCCCCTATTTTTTGAAATGGGGTTCATTATTACAAGTTAGATTCAAACTTGGAAGTTGTCAAGCATCGCCATCAACACAGGCCACCAGATAGAAATAATCTGGCTCTTTATAATTCTCTCAATTTACATTTGAAATCTCCTTTGCAACAATTGGATTTTACTTCTAGTATTATTACTCTCTTAATTTATAGTATACTTAATTTGAAGAGAATTAAAAAAAAAAAAGTAAAGAAATAATTTTTAATTAATTAAATTATAATATTTAAAAACATTATAATTTAATTATTAAAAAATCTTACTTTTCACCTCTCCCTCTCCTATTCCTCCTCAAACTAAATGCAATAATACATTTCAAAATCTCATTTTTTGAATAGTATAATATAATATAAATTTTCTCAACCCTTTGTTCACCTAATTAATACATTTATATAAGCGTAAATTAAACTCAAAATTTTTAATTTCTAATTTCACATCACTAAACTATTTTATCTCTAGTTGAGAGTATAAACATCTAACAATTAGCAAACTCTAGATTCATAAATTCATTACGATTTTGGGAGGAAAAATTCAGCTCGGCAATCTACTGAAATATCTTATAACCTTTTTTCAACTAGAAAATTAATTGGTTGGACTATATATGAAACATCTTTCAAAGATTCCTTGCTAGATTCCTGACAGAGTAGGAGTTTACATTGTGCAAATAATGCCCATCTCTTTCAAACAAAGTCAGATTTACTCAACACCCCCCACCATGTTCTTGTTATGATCACTTCCCCTGACTAAATACCCGTCTAGTCCCACTAACCCAACAATTTCTGATATGATAATATACACCAACTTCAATTCCTCAACTTGCGGAGCCAACCAGGGATATTGCTAGCCTCTTCCCCAACGTCCATCTAGTGGAGCTTTTGGAGAATTACAGAACACCATTAACTTTGTTTGACTTCATGTGTATTATACAGGGGAATATAATTATTATATTTGGTCCTACTGGATCTACGTGGGGCTGCGGAGCCTGTACACCTTTCTTTACTGGTAAAAAGCTTTGAAAATTGCAGGGCGCACTTGGTCACCATCACTACCCACTTTTGGTATAATGCATTAAGATTCTACACCATTCCTCAACAAATCTCGAATTTTGTTTTCTCTAACCACGATCAGTCTCATTTTTGTTGTTAATAACGACACTATATCTTCCCTCAAAAGTTGGCTTTTTTCTTTCTTTCTAATTATGTGATTTTTGTTTTCCATTACAGGTAGGTTCTGTACAAATTTTGGAGTCGAGTTTATGGTAATTGGTAAGTTTAGATGAGATTATTTCTTATGGGGGTAAGATTTATTTTGGAATACATTTTGGTCGGCCCACTAAATCTGATAATAAACCGACAGCATCTTTCGTGCACAGCTGCACTAGCTAGGTAGACCGCAAGAATGGTTAACTTGAACAGTAACAACCTCAACAACAGAGATGCATAGATATAAGTAGAAAAAGAGACAACTTGTTTCAACTTTCAACCATTTAATGTGAGCCAGCAAATATGTATGTACCGAGTCAAATAAGCTATGCACGAACCTTTGAAAATTGAAAAATACGGCGGAATAAAGATGCACCTTCTCAGAATAATCAAGAGTACAAATTCAACTAAAATTGCAACTTGCCTAGATAATGGACTCATCTAGTATCGCCACAAGTATCTGTTTATCAAATTATTTTCCACAAATTTTACTCTAAAATTAATTTCAATAGATTAATATATGTTTTCTAATGAATTGAAGGGAATTAAGTTAATACAGCTGATGATAATTGTGCAATTAAGCATGTGAAATATGATGTAGAAATAGTGATTACCAGAAACAAAACTAGTAAAGATTGTCAAACATTGGATTTATACCAGAAATGTCTTATTCAGCACATGCGTGCAAGTTTCTCTCACTATCTTCATTCTAGATCTTTTCTTCTCCTTTCTTTGTTAAATTGCATGGGACATGCATAAAATAGTAGAACAGTGTGTAGAATTTCAGATTCCATGATAATTTACCAAAAACAGTTCTGCCAAGGGAATCTAAAGGGACATAATTTTCAGCCGTAGACGTATCCATCACAATTTTGCACAAGTGTGCTGCTTAATGAAGTCTATAAATACCCTATGTGACAGACAGTGTACCTCACAGGCAAATCCCACTTCTCTTTCATCTCCAAAACTTCTTGTTTTCTTACTCAATATGGCCAAAGATAAGCTCATTTTTGCTTCTTCCTTCCTCCTCCTACTATTGTTTTCTTGTGAAATTATCACATTCATTGAGGGAAGGCCTTGGAAAACAGTTATGGAGGAAAACCATGAAAAATATATGCGACGTGGGGTTTTGGAAGAACGGGCTTCTGATGAGCCTGGTACCGTGGCAGCTGGTCAGCGTCGTATGGCCCAAAATGTCATTGCAGATGCTGATGATTTCCGTCCCACTACTCCAGGACACAGCCCAGGTGCAGGTCACTCTCTTGGACCTGCAGACGGTAGTGGTTTAAGTTAATTAGCTCAACTGTGCACGTATTAATAATATTAATAATTTTACGTTGCACAATAAAAGGTATCCGTATCTCATTATTCATGCATACAACACTTGTATGCATGCTGTGTGATTTGCAGCAAGACCGTACCTCTTGCTTGGGTAGTGAAGTAGTTGGTATTGATCTACTGTGAAGATATAAAGATTTGATGATGTGTGTGTTCTGAGGGTATCTCCTAGCTATATATGGCTAGACTTTATGGTTAAGGGTTGTGTTTAAATTATATATTTCTACCAGATATCCTTCATGTATCAGTGTATCAGTAAATCATTAAAATAGTGTGTGTTTAGCTTTGATGTGTTGTGTTTTGCTTACAACTAATTATAAAAAAATATTATAAAAATAATAACATATAAAAAGCACAACATAATACTATATATTAATAAAATTAAAAGATGGAGAAAATATATATTTATATATATTATTAACAATTTAAATAATTTATTGTTAATTCTTTTTTATTAAAAGTTAAGTATCTTAAGTTTAAATTATATAATATGTAAATGGAATGAATTAAAATATAAAAGAAAATTACCTTTTATTTTATAATTAAGATTAAAATATATATTTATAAACTTAAAAAATTAAACGACTAAGTAGTAAGGCATTCTCAATTTCAATTAGAGATATGAAATAAGATCTATACACAAAAAATGAAAGAAAAGACGCCTAGAGGTCTCTGAAAGTACTAAGCAGGCATTCTTTCTAGTTGTCTAATAGGAAGATGAGGATCAATTACAAACTAAACGGAAGTGGTTGTACCAAAAAAAAAACTAAACGGAAGTGGTAGGCCCTGCATTTAAGAATCAACACGAAAAAGAGTCTAAATGAATAGTTACCTACTAACTGTACATGTCTTGGCTTCTTGATTAATCATCCTGCAACGCCAATGGTGTTCTGACAAGATTATGGTTAAAATAGTTCATTTCTTAGCCCAATTCTTAAGTTGCAGTTGTACTGGGCCGTATTTTCCTTTCATATGTACTGGGCCGTATTTTAGTTATCATGTTCATGATTCATGAGTCATGTCCACTGGCCCCTACAAGACCAGAAAGTAGGCCTTTAGATTTATCGGCGAAAAATATTCATTTATTTTCTGAGTAGCTTTTTTT